GAGAGAGAGAGAGAGAACACACATATTCACTCTCTTATTTTAACTCTTTCACTCGCTCACTTTCTTTTTCTTTTCGATATCTCTTCTTCGTAAGAAGAGGGTAGGAGAGGAAAAAAAAAGAAAAAAACGGAAGATCTGACTGTAGAAGATAGAAAGGAGGAAGAAAAAAAAAAAAAAAGTAGTAGTTCTATAGAAGAAGTTGGTGGAAAGAATAGAAAATATATCATTTATACTTCTTGTTTATTACTGGTTTTTCTTTCTTTTTCGTCTAAGAGAAGGGAGGTAATAAGAGAAAGGTTGAGTATTTTTGTCGTTGAAATTGATTTCAAAAAATAAAAAATAAAAAAACAATACGACCCTTTACACAGAAATTATTGTATAATTGCCAAAAGGTTTGAATAAGGAAAACGACCGTGTGGTGAGGTAAAAAAAAAAAAAAAGGAAAAAACAAAGAATAGATCTGACTACAACTACTAATATATATATATATATATATATATATATATATATATATATATATAGAGAGAGAGAGAGAGAGAGAGAGAGAAATGCGTTCTTCCACTTCGAGTCCGCGACCCATGGAGGATGTGAGTGAGACGATGGCGAGAATAGAGAAAGAATGTGGGGAGTCCCCACCGGTGCGTGTAGTGTTGCGCTCTTCCTCTATCAACAGTGATGCTACTACTATGCATGCAGCTGCAGGGAGTAGAAACTGCACACTCTCACATGAATTGGGCTCCGCCGGTTCCTCACCGCCGCTGCCAATTCTTGAAGAGACTTCTGTGAGTGTGCCGAATGCGATGTCGCTTCCTATTCTCGACACCGGCGCTGTCAGACGTGGTGTGAGTGATAGTGCGGAGTTAAACTCCGCCGATACAGCAGATCGTAGTACGACGACGAACAGCAGTCAATCTCCAGCCGCCGTTAATCCATCACGATCTATGAATCCAGCCTTTTCACTTAGTCCTCGAACGGCGAGTAGTAGTGGTTATCTACGGGCTTCTTCCAATATGCCGAATGTGATCCTTCGTATAGATAAGGAAGGTTCCACCTTATCGTATAGTTATGCTGTTGGTACTGTGGAAGGTCGTCGTAATTTTGTAATAGAATGTCTGGAACTTGCAGAACATATGAATACACAAATAATTGTAGAAGAACTCGTTCCTGTGATGTTAATAGTTGCTAACTATGATGATGCGGCTTGTGCGATTGCTCGTGTATTACCAGATGTATTAAAGCACGTACAAGGATTAGATGAAAATATATTTGTTTTCTTTATGGGACTTATTATGAATATGTGCTGTTCTGCCAATCATGAAGTGGTACGACAAATATCATCATCTCTAGAAAAAATAATATCATTTGTAGATAAGACTATTATTGAAGTTTTACTATTCCCTTTGGTAAATTGTATGCGTCTTTCATTCTGGAGTTCACCAAGAGCCGTAGCGGCGGCTCTTTTAGGAATTCTCGCCTCTCGCCCTGTTCTTGTAAAGGCAAGTGAAATGCCTATAAAAGAATGGTTTAATGCCTTTATTGATCTTGCCAGAGATAAATCACAGTTTGTACGGGAAGTGGCTGTAAGTTCCTTATATCAATGGGTTGTGGTAGCGGAGGTTCACCGTGTGCAATTGGCGGAAATGCCACTTCCACTCGTTCATGAATGTATGATGGATGGACAAAGTGATACCGTACGCTATACACATGTGGCTGCGCTTATTCGACTGGCAGAGGCTATTGGAAAAGAGGCGACCACAAAATATTTACGTGTTTCTTTCACTGCAGCTAGTAAAGATAAGAGTTGGCGTGTACGATATATAGCGGCAAAGAATTTGGGAGCTTTTGCGCGTCTTTGTATACGACCAGATGATTTATTAAGTGTGTTTGCCGCACTTTGTTTAGATGATATGAAAGAAACACGGGCTGTGGCGATTGAACAACTTCGAATATTTGCAGATAATTTAGTTTCTCAGGAAGTATTAGGAGAGATGTGTGTTATTGTGGCTTCTTTGGCTACAGATGAGGAATCGGTAGTGCGTGAAAGTGTCTCTAATCTTCTTCATATACTCCTTTTACCAAATATACTTCCTGTATATACACATGAACGACAACAAGCTCTTTTTGCCTTATTAACAGATGGAGATTACGTTGTTGGACGAAGTGCGATGCGTAATTTAGAATTACTTCTTTTAAATCTTTCCAAATATCTCATCTCATCTAAACCGAGTGGTGGTGGTGGTGGTGGTAATGTTAACTCTGTGAATATGGATTCCAATAATAACTCCCTCAATACCGCTCCTGGAACTACTGGTACGATCACAACAACAACAACAACATCCACCACCACCACAACAACAACTAATATTACAACCTCAAGTAATGTTGTTGCCGTAGTAGCTACCACAACTTCTGATACTAATATAAATGCAGCTGTATCTACGAATAACAATAGTAACAGTAGTAGTGGTAATGGTAGTATTAGTAGAAGTTGTAGTAGCAGTAGCCGTAGTAGTAATACTAATAATAATAATAATAATAATAATAATAATAATAATAATAATAATAATAATAGCACTATAAAAGGAGGAGAAGGAGGTGGTAGAGGTAGTAGTAAAAGCAAGTATAAAGAGAAACTTGTGCGTCATTCACCGACAAATCCCTCTCTTGATGATGACTCATCCGAACCGTATGGAAAAGAAACGGAGGAGGAACTTCGAGAACGGGCTGTTACTGTGCTTTCAGGTACAATAGATCATTTACATATAGTGAGTGATTCTAAAAATTGGCGTATACGTGAGGCGGTGGTGGATGTCCTTCGTCATTTCTGTTCCGTCCTCACACGAGAACAGTTTGTGCCGTTAACATACATTATCCGTTCACTACTGCGAGATCCAGTGAGTGTGGTTCGTCTACGGGCCTCAGAGACATTAGCGGCAGTGGCGACTTCCTACGGGCCGGAGTGGGCTGCCGTCACTGCATTTGATTTTCTCCAGAATGAATTTGTATTGTGTGGAAATACACCGTACACCTGGCGAGTGGTGGCGATTCAATCTCTCTCCGGTGTTCTTCCTGTTGTGAGTGGACTTTCACCAATGGACCTGCGGCGACAGGAATTAATGCAGCGATGGATGCGACTCGTCCTTACATTTGCAGAGGATGATGTTTCTAATGTGCGGTTGGCACTGGCGAGATCTATTGCGGCCCATTGGGATTGGTATATTAGTTGTGTTCATCATCGTGAACATATTTGCCGGTGTGTGGAGCGGCTGCAGCGGGATAGTGATATGGATGTGTTTAGAGTCGCCAGTACATTGAATTTAACACAACTACATGATGGGGAACCCTTTTAGATGAGAGAGAAGGAAAGAGAGGGGGGATATGCATATTCATAACTGTCGTGGTAGTAGAGAAATGATAATAGGAGGTGAAGGATGATTACTTGTATGATGAGATTACTTTTTATTATTATTATTATTATTATTATTATTATTATGTTTGTTGTTGTTGTTGTTTTTGGTGGTGGTGGTGTGAAAAAAAAAAAAAAAGGAATATAATCTCTTCTGTAGAAGGAAATAAAGGGAAAAGAGGAAAGAAAACGAGAAAAAAAAAAGAAAGAGATAGAGATAGATATACACATATGGATATAAGGGGAATAGGGAGAAGACGAGAAAAGAAAGGAAAGGAAAGGAGAGAGTTGTGTGACATCTCTCTCTCTCTCTTTTCTTTCTATTGTTAGATTGAGAATTTACTAATGGAGCCTCAGTGAAATGGGGAGCTTCCTCTATTCTTTGGATTTTTATATACTTTTTTTTTTTAATTTACTGGACCCCTTTTTTTTTATTATTATTGTTATTATTATATTTCATCGATCGATTTGTAGATCTATGTGAAAGGAAAAAGAAAAACGCACAAAAAAAAAAGAAAGAAGTTTGTTTTTCTTTTCTATTCCTCTTTTTCTCTATCACTTCTTGTGTGCATATATATATATATATATATATTTATTTATATTTATATATATATTTATATATATAAATACTTCTCTTGTTTTGCATATGTCTTGGCAAGGGCTAGATGGTTGTTGGGAGATTTCTGTTCTTACGAAACTGTTTACTTGCAATTATCTGATCGGTGACCTGAGCGTGATTAAATTATTATTATTATTATTATTATTATTATTATTATTATTATTATTATTATTATTATTATTATTATTATTATTAATTCCCTCTCAGAGAGAATCAATCTGGTGTAGAAAGAGAGAATGAGAAAGGGGGTTGTGTGGGGTGTAATAATAACTTGTAGATCCTTTTCTGTTTCTTTGTTTCCTTTTCTTTGTTTGTTTGTTTATTTTCGCATTACTGTTTACTCTTCGTCATGTTTTCGCCTTCTTCTGAACGAGATAAGTACATATATATATATATATATATATATATATATATATATGTCTGTGTGTGTGTTTATACATTATTGATATGAGAGGGACTTTCGTATACCAAATACTGGAACTCTTTTTTTTTCTTTACTACTACTATTATTACGACTACGACTATTACTATTACTATCCTTTTTGGTATTTGTTCTTCATTTTTGTTATTATTTGTTGTGGTTGGGTATATATAAGTCGTGTGTGTGTGTGTATATGTATTGTTATTTATTTGAATCTATCTATTTTTTCTTTTCGATCAACTGGTTTCGCTTTTCTCTTCTTTCTTTCTTTCTTTATTTTTCCTTACTTTTCTGTATAAAGGCGGTACAGGTGTAAAAACAAAACAACAAAAAAAAACACATACACATCCAACAGAATTATTATCTTTTTTTCTTTCTCTCTCTATCTCAGTCTCAGTGTGTATGTAAATGTTCCCGTTGGCCTTCAATACCGTCCGTAAACCCCCCACAACGGGGGAAACAGTCACCACAGCATCACCTCTATTTCTTAGTAGAACCCTCTTCTCTCTTCCCATCTCTACTCATACCAATAGTAATAGTACTAATAATAGTACTCATACTCCAATAGGAGAAGAAGAAGAAGTTATTGATAGAGTGGTGGGATCCCAATCATCTTCTTCAACACTAATGGCGTTTCCTCTCGATGGTCATCATCTCTTTATCTTGTGTGGAACTCACATCCCTACTAACAACAACAACAGCAGTTGTAGTGATAGAAGTAGAAGTAGTAGTGTTGCGGTTTCCACTATCTTTGTAGTGCGGTTCTCTGCAGAGGGTGAACCGAATGCCACCCGCAGGGCACTGCCCATTGCAGCGATATCCGGTTGTGTGCAGGACCGCAGTCGTTATGTATACAAGCGAGAAGAGAGGAAATCGGCAAGTACAACAGGTAAGGATGAGAAGGAATGTGAAGAGGAACGATTAGTGGGAACTTCTTCATTAACGTTGAAGACTTCATCTGGAGTAGAGAGTTGTAGTAAATTTATATTGGGAAAAGAAGAAAATGAAAATGAAAGTATAGAGAAGAATAAGAAAGAAACAGGAGTCAACACAATATCTTCACAACAAATTCATCCTTTCCTTATTGCAGATGCTGTCATGCATGCTATTTGGGCTGTAGAAGTGAATACGGAAACTTTATCAGCCCATGTGATTTCCCCACAGGACTACTGGAGTCTCTGGAATAAATGTAATCATACAACTGAAAAGGGAATTTCACAATCATCATTATCATTATCATCATCACAACCAACACCGCAGGTATGGAATCAAGAAAAACCAGAAGAATGTTTAAACTCATTCGTGAGACCAAAGGCACTCTTAGGAGGTGTAGAGGGATTTGTGGATGGTCCCTTTCATCTTGCCCGTTTTGCCTCACCCACGGCATTATGTTGGCGTATAGATAATGATGATGATGATAATGATAATAATAATGATCATCATCATTATAATAATATAAATGACAATACAAGTAGTGTAGTGAAAGGAAAAAAAAATAATACTTCTCTTTCTACCGTTTTATTTGTTAGTGATACCGGTAATCATGCTATTCGATATGTGAATTTCCACACAAAGTTAGTTCGAACAGTTTGTGGATTGAATAGAGTCCCCGGTTATCGTGATGGGGATTATCGTGTTTCCCAATTACACACCGCTGCTGCCCTTACGTGGTGTTCATCCGGATTACTCTTTATAGATACATTTAATAACGCTATTCGACTCTTAACGGGATTTGATAAGACGAGAAGAGAAACCACATCGCAAGAAAAGATTTCTATTAACACGGCAACTAGAGTCTCAGAGGAAACGAATATGGGTAAACGTTATACCCCGCGTGTGTGGACTGTCGCTGATGGATTAAACTACCATCATAATGATAACAATAATAACCAAAAGGAGGAGGAGAAGAAGACGAAGAAGGAAAAGGAAAAGGAAGAGAAGGAAAAGAAGAAAAAGAAGAACAAATCACCACGTTCCTCAAATTCCAAAGAAGTGTGTTGGACTTCACTAAATATACCTAATGCGATGACAATAATGCCTGATGGAAGTGGGGTGTTGTTTACTGATTCTAGCCAAGACTCATTGAGTTTGCTCTCTGCTCGTGGTGTGGAGACATTTATTGGACCCCGTGATTATTCCAATACCTCATTGATACCAAATGGTTTAATTGCTTGTTCACATATACTTATCTGTTATTTAATCTCTCCTTGTGCTACCCCACGTACGGCATTCCTTGTAAGTAGTGGTGTACGTCAAACAGTTTCATTGTTATTATCGTGTTCTAATGTGAAGAGTAAAGAAGAAGCATTTCATTTGGCAAATACCACCACCACTATATTCTCTCTATTTCCACTAGATACCGTAAAGTTGCAGGATGGTGTACTGCATAAGTATATACATGGTGATGATGGGAAAGAGGAAAAAAAGAAAAAGAAAAAGAAGAATAAGAATAAGAATGTTCATGACACAACCATACATGAAAGTACCGCAGGTCGTGTGAAAGGAACTGATGCTAATACTGTTGTTATTACTAATAATAATAGTAATACTACTAATACTAGTAATGGTGTTAATACGGTTCTTGTTTCAGGTAGTAAAATACCGTTGTATTCACCAACACAACAAGACTCTTCATCCTTGCCTATATCTACAGGAGTTACTCCTAGTTCAATAATGAGTACCCGCTTAGAGAAAGCAGTACAAAGACTCTTTGACGTCTATGCATACTACGCTACCAAAGATAATATAGTGCCGCGAAGTAACAAGAAACTATTCTTGAAAGATAGTAATTGGTTAAATTACATAGATGCAACCTACTCACTTTCTCTGGTGGGTTTTTGGCGTTTCTTTACACATGCTGAATACTTTACTATATGCACGCCTTTAATCTCTTCTCCTTGTGGTGAACCAGTGGTAGACTCTACCTTTACGTTAAGTGAAGATGGAGATCGTATACGTTGGGGTATGCAAGATTGGCGTATTGTTGTTGATGTATTACACCAATCCAGTGTAAAGCAGATTGGCTATCATGTTGTTTCAACTATGAATTTTACTTTCTTTTGTCGGGTAATTCTTCTATTATACTACTGTTTACAGCGGCAGAAAGAAGAAGAAGAAGAAGAAGAAGAAGAAAAAGAAAAGAAAAAAGAGGAAGAAGAGGGGAAGAAGAAGAAAAGACGTGAAGGGAAGAATAAAGGGGAAGGGTTGGGTGAGGTCCATACACTTCCATTAGTCTCTATTGATGCACTTAGTGAAAATGAAGTGATCAACGCATATGAAGATGCTGTGCAACGCGTGGAAGCCCTCCATATTGATGTTTCTTCACGAAGTGTATCTCCCACTATGAAAAGTCCATCAAAAGAAAAAGAAGTAGAAAAAGATCAACAACAACAACAACTGCAGCAGCAGCAGCAGCGAGTAGGATTTTTGGCCGCAGATGAGGTTTTGCAGCTCTTGTTGCGTAATGAGAAACCCCTTCGGCAGTTGTTTTATGCATATAGCAAGAAAACTCTTATTCCTGATTGTGATGGTTGTAATTCCTCTTCTCACACCTCATTCTCAAATCCCACTAGAGAGAGACGGATAACTACACTACGACAATTGCGTCAGATGTTAACTACTGGCAAGGATGGGAAACCAAAGAAAAAAAAGGAGTGGGTATATGTTGTACCTTACAATAGATTTCATGCCTTATTTCGTGCTGTAAATGTATTTCCTACACTTATAAGTGAATCATTACTACGACGTGCTTTTGTAGATGCGTTAGCCGTACCGCTTTTTTATCGTCTGAATAGAGAGAGAAACGCAACGATGCAGTCACAAGAAGATTCTTCTCTTTTTTCATTTCCACTATCACATGATGTGGAGAAGAAGTACTCTCGCTGCGGTGTAGCTCTTCCATTTATTCCTTTTCTTGAGGCCTTTACACGAGTTGCTCTCACAACCTTTTCCCTCTGTGGTGAGCGTGATCGGCAGATGTATCCAACCGCAGCCGCAAAGGTTGAGGCCCTTATGAGTTGGATAAACCGATCATTTGAATTGGGACACGTACATGAAAATGGCGCAACAGCAAGTAGTAAAAAATTTTGTGGACATGTACGAGGAGGAGGAAGTCATCATAACGATAATGGGGCTATTGGTGAACACTCACATATGATCTATACAACCTATCCTTGTCAATCATCTGTACCTTTTCCTCTGGATTTTATCTCGTTTAATGTTCCCTCACGATCAGTGAAATGACACCGACCGTGAGACTCAGGCAGTTACTCCCTTCTGAGAAAAAAAAGGGATTAAAAACAAAACAAAACAAAAAAGTAAAGGTGAGTAATGGCTAGTATTTATACACCAGGGAAGGGAGATCAGACATTTTCTGCTACTTATTTGTGAAATCCTTATCATTATCATCCACAGTCATATTGGTCCTTCATTATTTTTTTCCTTTTATTTTGTTCTCTCTCTCTCTCCCTCTCTTTCCTCTCTCTTTAATGTTTTTTTTTTTTTTTTTCTTATTGTTCTTTATAGAATTCTTATTACAAACAAAGTCCACAGAAGGTTATTAACAACCCTAAACTTATTTTCAACTGAAACTCTAACCAACAACAATGGGATCAGCTGTCTCACGAAAGAAGGTCAAGACGACTGACGCAGCCGCAAACGACAAAAATAATCAGGTCAAGGCCGCTGCTGCAGATGTTAAGAGGAATGGAAAGGAAGAAAAGCATCAGGTCGAGGAAAAAAAAAAGCATGAAGAGTCTCAAGCGAATGATGGTAAGGACAATGAAGCTCTACTCAAGGAACTTGAGGAGGCATTCCAGAAGCTCCATCAAGCTGATGAGTGTCACTCCCTACTGAAGAAGTACCTGACGAAGGAGGTGTTTGACGAGCTCAAAGACAAGAAGACCTCAATGGGAGCTACGCTGATGGATGTCATTCAGTCCGGTGTGGCTAACCTCGACTCTGGCATCGGCCTGTATGCACCGGATGCGGAGTCGTACAAGGTGTTTGCGGCTCTCTTTGACCCAGTCATTGAGGAGTACCATCAGGGATTTAAGCCAAGTGATAAACAGCCACCCAAGGACTTTGGTGACCTGAGCACACTCGTTGACGTGGATCCCGAAAACAAGTACGTCATCTCCACACGTGTACGGTGTGCGCGCAACCTTGATGGCTATCCGTTCAACCCACTCCTCAAGAAGGAGCAGTATGAAGAGATTGAGTCCCGTGTCAAGGCACAGTT